TCTTGCAAAAAGAATTCAAAACAAAACCATATATATAAATATTTTAGCATATTTTCACAAAAACATAAATGATATGGTGGTCAAGGTGTTGAAGGGTAGCAGTTCCGTTGGTTTAAAATCTTAATCCATTAATCGAGTCCAAGTGTGTCAAAACCCTCAACAACAACAACGTGTTACGTGTCACTCTCATTACGCATCCAGATAAAAAGCCAATCCCAGATTTATCAAATCAAAATTTTTCCAAACTCCCAAAATACCCCTACTGCACCTCCCATTCTCCCACCCCACCACCAAATAATCTCCGTCATTTCAGTCACAACCCAGGTCCTCTTTCGTCCACCCAAAAGTCCCCCACCCTTCTACTATGTCCGAACTTCACCGAAAACCAAGAAAGGCAGGAAGGGGAGTGAGAGAGAGAAATGGAGTTCAATTTCAACACCAATAGGGCGGAAGCGGAGCGCCGTGAAGCTACTGTCAGCGCATAACTTGCAGGAGACCAAGACCTTTAAGATTTGAGCCCGAGAACTGACCCCAGGCTCGAGGCCACCGAGCAGATAATCGCCGTCGCCGACACTCTTCTCGCCGTTGAATCCCAGATCAATAACCAAAACCAGCAGCCCGACTGGTACGCTATTCTCCAACTCGCCCAGTACACTCAGAACCTTGAAATCATCGCGACTCAGTATCGTCGACTCGCTATTCTGCTGAACCCCTACCGGAATCGCTTCCCTTACGCTGATTATGCCTTTTGGCTGGTCTCCGAGGCCTGGAACGTCATCTCTAACCCCACCAAGAAGGCCATGTACGACCACGAGTTGAGCATGTTCAACCGGTTCAACTCGGCCTCATCCGAGTCGACTCAGCTGTTCGAGAGGCAACATTGGATAAGTGTTAAAATATATTTCTTTCCCAAAACCGATATTATCGGCATTTCAGGCCATGATTATACCCTGTACCTTTTTTTTTTTTGCCTTAAAGTTTTATCCTACCACTTTAAATAATGATTAAAGGTATAATAAAATATTAAATTATAATATTTGTAATAGCTTTTCAGAAAATGGGAACATGCATGATGATAACATATATCAGTGACATATTAAATAAAAAGATAAAGTTCTTATCTTTTGCATGTTCTCCGATGGGTTTTTCAGTGGATGGTAGATGACTGTTGTCCCGTCACTTCACCTATCATTAGTGGCTGTCTTTTTTTATTATTATTTTTATTGCAGCATCATCAGTCTGCAGCATCATCTTGACTTTTATACTCTGCAAGGCACTTCGAAGAGAGTTTCCGCTCTCTTTTGAATGGGTTGATCAAGCCTTTGTTCTTCAAAGTTTTCAACAACACTTCTTCGCCTTCTTGAAACCCCGCGGCTTCTATGTCTTTCAAGTTAACTGGGACATACTTGGGCAGCCCAGCACTCATACCTTTAACAGTTCCCTTCAATTTGGGAAGTCGACGGTAAAGCGGCATCTGATCGCCTTCAAATTCGGGGCAAACCTCTGTGGGAAGAACCGCAACACCTCTTACTATAAGGCACATGCAACTCAAAGCCATAAGTCTTACCTCGTGTGACGTTGTACAGGGAACGCCTTTTGTTGCTACTGTCATTAGTCGAAACCATCAGCATTGGAAGCTGGTTGTGACGTGATTTGACGATGCGATACTGCTTGTGATGTAACGCAATTGATTTCCAATGCTTGCAAACTGCACTAAACTAGATATAGACAGAGATGGGTATCAACTTTTCTAGTATCAAACCCAGAATGTCGGCCGGAAGCCATGCCCAACCTGCGACTGAGGTTAACGCTTCTTCCATAGTTCTGCATTATTTAGGCCTGGATTGGAACTCCATCTCATTGATAAGGTACCATCTAGGAATCAAATGAGGCTTGCCATTGGTGAGTTGTTCTCCTCTCTGTTACGGCAAATCAATCCTCAAATGAGGCTTGCTGCTGCTTCATGGTGGATTGAATCGCCTAAGGTTAGCGTTTCTAGAGAAAGACTTTCTGGTTTGTGTCTCTATGTGGGTTAGTGAGAGGAGAGAGAAGGAAGGAATGTGACTGTGTTTTCATCGATGCCGCTGTGACCGGGAGCTGAAGCGGAAGACATGGGTCTTGCAGTGACTGTGCAGGTGTTTGGTTCTTGGGTTTCTGCAGATTCACGGAGGTGAGATGAAAAAATGAAAGAGAACTGACATAGCTTTTCGTGTCGTTTCCCACACACGGCGCCAAATGTTGATGCACAAAATCCGGAGGATCTTGGACCAACGTAAATCCGACCGTGAATCACACAAACGCACAAATACACAAAGATGTATCGTGGTTCACCCCAATGTTTAGGCTACGTCCACACTGATGTTGATTATGTATGTATGTATAGATTACAATAAATCGGCAAGGGAGCTCTATGTGGATGCAACTCTTGCCATTTTACTCTCTGTTTGGCTGAGAGGGTATTGCCCTCTATTGTTGTGAGGATTGAGTGTGAGACTCTGTGAAGGTGAGGCTAAATGTGTGTCCCCTCTTAGTGAAGGTGAGGCCCCCTTTTATAGAATAAGGGTTTCCTCCCTTCTTACATAAACCATGGGCTTAGGGATGAAGCCCAAAGACGAGGCCCGATATATGGTACCAACACACAGTAAAAGAAAATCAATATTAAAGAAAATGTTAAGAAGACCACATTTTTTGTACTATGTCATGTTAATTAATGAATTTATCTTATTAAATGTTAATTTAACATAAACAAAAGGATGGCGTTAGTGAAAGGAACCAATGATGCAACATATTATTACATGCCACGTCACTAAAGCTATCATTAATGACGGCATTGATGCAAATTTGAACCATATTATGATATGTCACATCAATTAATGAATTTATCTTATTGAATGTTAATTTTTTTTGATTGGATGTTAATTTAACAGAAACAAAATGACGACATTCGTGAAAAGAACCAATTGTGCAACATATTGTTAAGTTATTATTTTTTTTTTAACAAACAATATTATCTACATTAAGGTGAAGGGGTAAACTTAGCTTCACAAAGTGTTAGTAATAATATGGTTCAAATTCGCCTTTAGTAAGAATTAAACCTAAACCCTTCACTTACAAGTAAATAAGAATGTTACTAGACTGTAATACTAAATGACAATATATTATTTTGTTCAACGACTAAAGAAACTAATATGAGAGCTCAGAATTAAAATTAAGCTAAGAGCAAAATTTAAAAACCATTGATACAATTAAGCCCAAAATTTTCCTTGGAACTAGCTTTACATCACGTACGTGGATTTAAAGGGCAAGTAGAGAAAAAGTGATGTGAAAAAGGGAGTATGATTTTATTTCCTCCTAGTCTCCCTCCTTTTTCATTTCCTCATATTTAAACAGTTACGGTTAAAACACGTCAACGTTTTGTGTTAATTTTTAATAGTCAGAAGAAGTCAAAAAGTAATATATAAGAGAAGGGAAGGGAAGAAGATGTGAATAGTCACGTCAACGTTTTATGTTAATTTTTAATAGTCAGAAGAAGTCAAAAAGTAATATATAAGAGAAGGGAAGTGAAGAAGATGCAAGTAAAAGAGGAGAGAATCCTATCCGAGAGAGAGAGAGAGTGAGAGAGAGGCTATATCGCAGTCCAAAATGTCAGCATTCAACTACCACCATTTCCTCCGTTGCTTTCGCAGCCGATTGGCTCAATTACCACCATTTATGATTTATCATTAGGTTCGTTGCCATCTAATCAGACACTAAATCTAATTTTTCACTAAAATTAGTTGGTTGCCATCTAATCAAAGACTATATCTGATTTTTCACTAAAATTAGTAGACGTAGCATTTCATGCAAATAATATAAAAATACATAAAACGTTATTGTATTAATATAACCATCTTTATATATAAAGTCAACAACTCCTATTAGGGTCACAAGCTTCATAAAAAAATTTTGAATAAAAATGTCCTCAAAACAAAAAATTTTAAAAGCAACCCAAAATAATGCACCAAATAATGTAGTGGTATTTTTGTCATTTTAACAGTTTTTTAATAATTAATTCTTTTTGTACATTTTTTTTATTTTTTTAATTAATACCTCACAATAGACTAGTAATAATGTGATTCAATTAGTTATTCATTAAATATTATTTTTCTCTATTTTTAAACACGTTCAAAACATTTTAAGAGGCGTGTAATGCCGGTTATAAAAAATGTATTTTGCACGCGCATAAGAATGTAATTAAATTAGTTGTCAAATGATTGTTTTTTATTTTAACAAACTATATTATTTATACTAAGGGAGAGGGAGGTGGGCTTAACCTCATAATGGACTGTCAATAATGTGATTCAATCAATTGGTTATTAAATATTATTTTCTCTATTCTTAATGTAAATCCAATAGAATGTAGATGAAAATTGACAGACATATTTTATTCTGTGAATTCAGCTGCTTTGATTGGATTTTGAGGGGTTTTTTCTAGCATGATTTAAGATTATTCATTTACTTTAAATATTTAACTTACCCTTTGTCAATTCATGCATATAAATACATTTAAAATGTATAAATCGTGCATAATACGCCTTGATTCAAAAACATGCATGCATGAAGACTAGTATTAAGTAAGTTGCCCGTTTCACAGACAGAATTTCAAAACATACAAACAATAAAAAAGGGGAAAAAGAGGTGATTTCCCTTACGAGAATCTCGTGACTCTTCTCCACTGAAAAACGGAAAGGTAACAATTTCAGTAAGAACTTGAAAGTAAATCCTTCATGGGTTTTACTATTTTTAAAGTTTGTTTTTTTTTGGTTTAATTAAGTTTTTTAAGTAAGTGCCACGCAATCTTGAAATGAAGGACATGGATCATGAAACCGTGTGATGCTGGTGAAAGCTCTGACTTTCAAAATCTGACTTGGTAAATAGATTAGGAGAGAGAAAGAGAGAAAGAGGGACAGAATGTGAAGAGGATAGTAGAGCATAATTATACAGAAGATTTGCATTAACCAGAGGGTATTTTGTATTTTCCTCCTCATACCTAAAAAGAAAGGAAAAGACAGAAAATTTGCATTAACAACAAAAAGAGAGAGAGAGAGAGAGAGAGAGAGAGTAAAAACGGAAGGGTTTTCTTTTCTGTGGCTTCGGATTCTTTTGCCAAATCAATCTGTCAGCTTAGGAATAAAACATTTTACAAATCTGCTGTTTGGGAAAACAAAATCAATCCAATTCACCCCAAAAGGGGAATGCTTTGATTACCTTTGTGTTTTGTTTTGTGGTAAATTCAGAAGAAGAGAGAGAGAGAGAGAGAGAGAGAGAGAGAGAGAGAGAGATGGTGGAGACTTGGAGGTGGGTTTTGCTGGTTTTCAGCATCTGCATTTTTGGGTGGAGTCCAAGCTCCATCAATGCCGCCACAGATCCCACAGATGGTCAGTTGCCTCACCCAACTCTTCTTCTCTCTATTTTTTTTTCTGTTTGTTTGAATTAGTATCAGTTTATTTGGACTCTCATGAGCTAACTTCTGGCAAATCTTCATAAAGTTTGAAACTTTAGTTTTTTCCATTCGTGTTAAATACTAAACCCACTGAATGCATTGTGGATTTGACTTTCTTTGGGAAATTACAAGTTGTTCTTGAACTGCTTATTGGGAGCCAGATTTGTGCTTTTACTTTTGATTTTTTTTATTAGTTTGTTTATTTATTTTTTGATTTGAAGAGTTCTATCTGTATGAAGGGGCATCAGAGGAACTGTTTATGTGCACAGTCTGGTCTGATATTAGTGATGTAGATTAACTTTGCCTTGTTTAAACAAAAATTCTGGGTTTTAATGTGATTGCTGTTTGGCATTCATGTAATTCGGGCTTCTGAAAAGATAATAAAATTAGTCCTTTTCTTTATCAAAGTGGTAATTAGATGTCGCTGTATGACCATCATTGCCACCTTTGAGTCTTAAAAGCGTTTAATTCCCACTTTGAGTGATGATGAAAAACTGTTACAATTGCTACTTTTCTGTCATCAACAATTCCCACTAGCGTTTAGGATAGGTAATTAGAAAGTTAAAATTACCATTGGATTTTGAAAAGATGCAATTTGGAAATTTATTTTTAGAAGTTACCGGATTTAAAGTGTCGGTTTGGCTGACCTATTCAGGTGAATTTCTTATTTCCCTTAGATGCATCAATTATGAATGAGGAACTGAAGTATACGTTTATATACAATTTTATCATATGACAAAATGCATATATAAAACGTTCAACATAAGAGAAGTTCTATCAACTTGGTTGATTCAAACCAACGGTTATCTTGCTCCTCTACGTCCCGTGAAGGTGAGGATGCACTCTTGGTTTGGGAAATTTATGAATGACACAGCAACCCGAATTTCCAAATTCTGAGCGTGTTTTTGCAATTGGTTTGCATGCTTGTACCGTTATTGCTGGCAAGTCTAATCTTTTCAGAATTTTAGTTGTAGCTGCTCTCCTTCTGGCTCAAAGATGCTTCGGCAATTACGTTTATCTTATCTGATTTACATCATATTCACTCTGGAGTCTGGACCCTATTTTACTTCTCTTCAAGTTTCATTGCTCTGAAGAAAGCACATTATTGCAACTATATGAAATTCATTTCATAGTCCACATCTGCTTATATTGAATTTCTTTTGGCATGTTCAATGCACAGTTAGTGCTCTGAAGGTCTTGTACAGTAGCTTAAATTCCCCATCTCAGCTAACCCAATGGATTCAAAATGGTGATGATCCATGTGGCCAGTCGTGGAAAGGTGTTAAGTGCTCGGGCTCACGAGTAACAGAAATGTGATTCCCTACTTCCTCATTCATTTGCCTAGATATTATCACATGTATGCTAATTTCTGATGCCTCTTCTTTCATTACTCTTTTTTATCAGTGATTTATCAGGTCTTCAACTTTCTGGGACGCTAGGGTATCAGCTTCAGACTCTGACAGCACTAACCAACCTGTAAGATCAATGGTCGCATGTGTCAAGTTGATTGATCCATTTTATTTGACTGATTAGTTTGATCTCATGATTTGAGTATTTGACAAATTTTGCAGAGACATGAGCAATAATAATCTTGCAGGCACTATACCGTATCAACTTCCTCCGAACATGACACGATTGTATGATTCATAACCACATTTATCTACTGTTCTGTGTGTATTGTCGCACTTCTAGTTTGTTTTATAACATAAGCCATTTTTCTATGCAGAAACCTTGGTGGTAATAACTTCAATCAAGACATCCCTTATTCCATCTCTCAGATAACGTCTCTTACATACCTGTAAGTAAATAATTCTTTATAACTTTGGTCACAAGACTCGCAACTTATCGAAAGTGTTTAAAGTAAACCAGTTTCATTCTTTTGGGGACTGCAGGAACATTAGTCACAATCAGATTCAGAACCAGCTGGGTGACATGTTTGGAAAGCTCTCTTCTCTATCCGTATTGTGAGTTCTCCTTCCATCCTTGTTGTATATAAGTAGCTTGCAATGAAGTCCATTTTGACACGAGTGCATAGTTTGCAACTTGGCCATTCCTTTATCAAAAACCGAAAAATAGTAATATAACTAGATAACAATGTACCATATTGCACAATCAGTCAATATAAACAATCTTTGAAGAATTATGTTTTCATTTTTCTATGAAATTCTGCAAGTGTCAATCATCTCCCTTGAAAGTCGCTAAAGAATTTATGTTGGTTTTACTCAAGGACCAAATGACGATAATTCTTTTCTTGCTTCAGGGATCTGTCTTTCAATTCTCTGTCAGGCAACCTTCCTGAGAGTTTTAGCTCCCTCTCAAGTATGACAACAATGTAAGTAATGAAAATTTTGTTATTATGGTAATGATTGTCTAGTTTGTAGTCTTGACTCTTCCCTGGAATTGTCTTCTTTCAGGTTCTTGCAGAATAACCAGTTGACAGGGACTATTGATGTCCTTGCCAATCTGCCCCTTGATAATCTGTGAGATATCCATTCAACTTAGCCAGATACTCATTACCACTCCCCACTCTGTTTCCTCAAAGTGTCCTGGCTTTCAGTTTCAGCCCACTAAAGTACTTTTGTTTGTGTTTCTTAGGAATATTGAAAATAATCATTTTACTGGCTGGATTCCAGAGCAGTTGAAAAACATTAATCTGGAGTAAGCATTCTATTATTAGCTACAATTATTTCAAATCTGGACTCTGGAGAGATTATGTTTACAATATACAATATGGTTCTAAGGAATGTCATTACAGGAAGGATGGAAACATGTGGAACTCAGGTCCTGCACCCCCACCCCCACCTGGTACACCTCCAGCCAAGAGCAATGGAAATCACAAATCTGGCAGCAACAACTCACCATCAAAAGGTGGTTCAGGTGAAAAGAAATCAGGAATTGGGGGTGGTGCCATTGCAGGAATAGTGATATCTCTTCTTGTAGTTACTGCAATTGTAGCATTCTTTCTCATAAAGAAAAGGTCAAAGAAGTCATCCTCAGATGTGGAAAAGTTTGAAAGTCGGCCCTTTGATCCCCTTGCAAGTGAAGTGCAAGGTACCTACAATTTGTCTACATTTTACATTTAGTTGAGCATTATCAGAAAATATTTTTTCCTTTCCATTGGTTTGCTCTTCATGCTGTTCGGTTTGACTTCTCTAGACTGGATATGCTTGTATTTATTTTCTGCAATATTCCTGCTGGTTTTAGTGTATGATACTGCTTTCTTTGTTTATCAGTTGGATTGAGTTTATTAATTTATCCCCCAAATCATTGAATTGAAATTAAAAGGTCGAGATCTACAGTGTTATAAAATAAAAAATATTCTCAATAGGCCACATCCGCATTTCAATCATGTTTGTTCAGATTATTTAAGATTTTTGTTGAACCATTTTTAACTTTGAAATGGTTGTTGAATGTTAACTGCTTTGTCTCCGGCACTCCAATGCAGAAATGAAATCTGTACAAACCCCTGCCCCATTGGACTTGAAGACCTTTGATACTCCTGCCGTACTAAATCTTAGACCCCCACCAGTTGATCGCAATAAATCATTTGATGAGGATGAATTCGCAAAGAAACCCATTGTTGTCAAGAAAACTGTCACAGCTCCTTTAAATGTGACCTCATATTCAATAGCAGACCTGCAGATGGCTACTGGCAGCTTTAGCATTGACAACCTTCTTGGTGAGGGGTCTTTTGGACGTGTTTATCGGGCTCAATTCGATGATGGGAAGGTATACCGTTTACCTAATAAATCTATATGCCATGACATTGATGTTGGAAAGGTTTAATCTCTTTAAATTCAGTGACATCTCTTTACATAAAGGAGTAATGCTTTTTCTTCTTCATATCCTGCCTGAAGATGACTGACTTGCTTGTTTACTTTCATATTAATTCGACCATTTAATTTACTTTTTTGGTTGAAATCTTCTGCTCTCTCTCTCTCTCTCTCTCTCTCTCTCTCTCTCTCTCTCTCTCTCACGCGCACGCACACACACACACACACGCGCGCACTGGTGTATGGACACCCTTGCAACACACACACAAAGTGAATGCTCTGGAGAGCCAGTATGATATCCTGAATGCATATATGGTTGGTTAAGCATTTGTTGATTTATTTATTCAAATGCTTCAATTCCAGTTGTTCCAAAGACTGAAGACAGAGTAGAATAATTTGTTACTACTTTTAACAATGTTATAGGTTCTTGCTGTGAAGAAATTAGATTCATCTGTCCTTCCTAGTGAGTTGTCCGAAGAATTCACCGAGATCGTTTCAAGCATCTCCCAGTTGCATCACCCAAATGTAACAGAGCTGGTGGGTTATTGTTCAGAGCATGGACAGCACCTGCTAGTCTATGAGTTCCATAAAAATGGTTCGCTGCATGACTTCCTGCACCTATCAGATGAATACAACAAGCCATTGACATGGAACTCTCGGGTCAAGATTGCTTTGGGGACTGCACGTGCATTAGAGTAAGTTTGTGAGTGGACGTCCATGCTTTGGCTTACATATTTAAGCTCACAATCATTTTTTAAACCTCGTTGACTGGAAATATGTGTTGCTGGTACTTACAATGCTTTCTTTTAGGTACTTGCATGAAGTTTGTTCACCATCTATCATTCACAAAAATATAAAGTCAACCAACATATTATTGGATGTAGAGCTCAACCCTCATCTTTCGGACTCTGGCCTTGCAAGCTCTATCCCCAATGCTGATCAGGTTAAATTTGGAATATCATACTTTTGAACTTTTAACTGTTTTCATATACATCCAATATGAACTGATTACTCCATTATCTGAAATTGTATCCTAACTGAATAGCTGTATTTTAGACATAGATGATTATAATTACCAGGATTTACGAAAACTCGTAACTCAGATGCACCAGTCTCAGAATCAAAGATACTGTCCGAATAGAAGCATACTCAAATTTCTATCTTCGTATGATTGTGAATGATAGTAAGGTTCTATTTGTTTAACATTTACATAAATGGACCTAGAGAAATAAGGTAGGAGCAGACTTTAGAACACTTTAAAAACTACTTCTTGTTCGGATCTCCTGTAATCATGGAACACATTCAATGACCCAAAATCATCTGTACTTGTTAGGAAGAAAAAATTCATGTGTGAAACTCAGCTAAACGACCATTTCATGCCTCATAAGGGCTGAGACTTTATAGCTCACTTCATTTAGTGTCACCCATTTGTGATTGTCGGAAAATTATACGACGTAGTGGGTGTCTTACTTAAGTGGTGGCAGAACACATGTGCATACCTGTTGCATCAGTTGGATTGATCATTATTTTTGTGGGAGTGCTGATGGTTTAAGTTTCACATGAGCAGGCATTGGACCACAATGCAGGATCTGGGTACAGCGCACCTGAGGTTGCCATGTCTGGCCAATATACACTAAAGAGTGATGTCTATTGTTTTGGAGTGGTTATGCTGGAGCTTCTTAGTGGGCGGAAACCATTTGATAAGTAAATATTGACATAAATTAGTCTTACTATCTTATTAATGTTATTACCATTTGTAAAGATTGGTGAAATTAATTGTTGCATGAAAATTCCTTGACAGCTCGAAGCCTAGGTCTGAACAATCTCTGGTTCGATGGGCAACACCCCAACTCCATGATATTGACGCACTTTCGAAAATGGTAGATCCAGAACTCAAGGGGCTCTATCCAGTTAAATCTCTGTCACGGTTTGCTGATGTGATTGCTCTCTGTGTCCAGGTAATGTACACGTAGATTATGGAATTTACACTCAATTTAATAATGTCTAACTTGTTACGGCATGAAGAACAACCATCAGTTATTCATGCCGTAACAAGTTAAATTATAGGATGTGGAGTATGGGGACTTTTCATATTGTGTAGTGTGAACTGAAGTGAAGATCTGATCGTTACCTTCCACATTATGGTGCAGCCCGAGCCTGAATTTCGACCTCCCATGTCAGAAGTGGTTGAGGCATTAGTTCGATTAGTGCAGCGAGCCAACATGAGCAGGAGAACAGTTGGAAATGATCAAGGATCATCCCATGGAGGTGGCAATGCCGATGCACAGGACAACCTGTCTTGAGGACAGCTTGAGGTGACAATGGGGACACACATGAAGACACGCCTCAGGAAAACCGCGTACATTTTGAGTACATTCGCTTGGCTACACCATATGTTACCGGGCGTACGTATACCCTTGGTAGTATATGCCTGTTAATATTTTTACGTAGTTGAGGTGGTAGTTTCATTTTTGAAAACTTTTCCAATTGAACTGGGTGGATTTGGAGCTTGTTTCAAATGAGGAAGTCTGAATATTTTCTCACTTTATGTATACATTAAAACCAGTGCGTGCACCATTAAACGAGCCCTGGTGGTGCCGGATTCCGGTCGGCCAAATGACAGTTTGTATCACAAACTGAAGATATCAGTGATCAGTTTGCAGTGCAGGCTGCGGGAATCACGCACTTGATTTCTCTTGTAGGCTTGTAGCTGTACAATATTCAAGTAAATAATATAAAACTTCAAAGTTCTTTATTTCTTTCCCAAAGTTTGGCTCGATTGTGTTAAAGAGAAATTTTATTTAAACCCATGTAACTTTTTTTCTACCTCCACCTAAAATTTTAAATATTAAGAGTAAATTGTAGCAATGGTCTCTTAATTTTAACTCAGTTGGAGCATTGATCTCTCAACTAAAAATTAATTATCATTAGTCCCTCAACTTTAATCTAATTGGAGAAATGGTCTTGCAACTTTAACCCAATTGGAGTAATGGTCTCTCAACTTTAATCCAATTGTAGCAATGGTCCTTCCAACATAACTCATATTAACAAAATTCTTGACAAAGTTGACGAAAAGAACCATATCTACATCTTTTGACGAGTTGAGGGATCCTAACTGTAGTAATGATCATTTTAACATAACTTATTTTGACAAAATTATAACAAAGTTGACAAAAAGAACCATAGATACACATTTGATAAGTTGAGGGACTAATGGTAATGGATTTTTAATTGAGGGACCATTGCTCCAATTTGATTAAAGTTGAGGGATCATTGCTACTATTTACTCAAATATTAATTGTCTTTTTTACCCTATTGCATAATTATTGTCAAGTACAATATGAAATTAATAATAAAACTTAAATTTATCAATAAACCCACATCCTATAATTAAACCCTACCATCACTTCTTATTTATCATACGTTTATTCCGGCTAAAACCCTATAAGCTCTTATAGAGAAAAAACGAGTTTTTTTTTTATCGATAGATGGTGATAAAGTTTTGATAAAGTTATGACTTGACTTATGAAAATTTTTTGTTCGCTTGATTTCAATTTTGTTTTTTAGTTAGAAGATAAGTATTTGATTATCATTTTTTTTTGTCAATCCCAGACTGCTCATAGTTTAAACTTTTTGCACCGCCAAAGTGAAAGTATTAAAAAATTGTTGCACACACCAAATTTCTGGGATATATATTTTCCTTTCTATGAATATAAGTTATAAGTTTTGTAATCTTTGTTTAAAGGAGATCCCCACATCAATTAGATTGCAGACAAAACAATTTGGTTTATGGCCCAAAATAACAGCTACTGTACTTGAATATGCTCACAAACACTTTAACCCGAGAAGATTCAAGTATATTCAAGACTCAAAATTTGATGAGAAAAATACGAGTATAAATTACAAAAACTATAACCTGTGAAGATGAATGTTAGTTTTAAACTATTTTTTCTCCAATGTTAATAACAATAGCCTTACTAGTCACTGGTATACATACAAAGAGCATCGTTGTTTAAAACTCGAGGCTTTGTTAGATATATTGACACTTGCCATGAAAACAATTGAAGAATTTGGAAATGAATTGGAATTGGGACCAGTTAGTTGAAGAGGTCACAGTGGGAGGAGGGACAAAGGACCCAGAATGTTTTTTGACTTTCGAGTCTATACGAAAACAAAACTATTCAATTTGAGAATTTATTTTTTAAATGGTTGTAAAGATAACTTTACAATTTGAATTGGATTTGAGAGGATAGTTTAGGTAATAAATTTGGGTTTAAAAAGATATTACTTCTTTAATTAAAAATCATATGGATGTGGATAATAAGTTGGATGTAGAAAGACATTAAATGAGTTTAAATAAAATTTCCCGTTGTGTTATGTGCCGGTGGCATGTCTGCACGTATATTTGGGTTGTATCCTTGGTCCGGGATAACATTTACGGCAGCATTACATGTGGCGTCTCTGGTGTTTGCATCAAAATGGCAACAGAAGATGGAGTTTTGTATGAAGAGGATAATAACAAGGAGCAAGCACCTGAATTATTGACCATCTTTCAACACAAGAATTGTAAACATTCACCATCACCACTTGGAATAGCTGCAAAAGAAATTGTCTAGCAATTGGTGTGGCAAGAAAAACAAGTGTCGGATCATTTTTCGGTTGGACCAGCTTAGTGAACCATAAATTGTACGAGATTAGTTTATAAAACAAGCAAAATACAAAGTTTAAACAACAAACATGAAGCAGCCGAAACCATCCCACCAGAGAATGCATCAATCAATTCTTGATGGGATCTGGAAACACACTAGAATAAGTCCTCTGCTCAATTGTAAACCATGTACTTCGGTGTTGCACTGAACTTCTGATACCCCTTTATGACCTTGTTAACAGCATCGAGGAAGTCCTTCTCTGTTGCCGTCTTCCTTCGGGCTCTTATGGCATACATCCCAGCTTCCGTGCAAACACTCCTAATATCAGCTCCTGTGAAAGAGATAACAATGTCACAAAACCTAAGTCCAGTAACACAATGTCAAGATACGAGGGATGTAGCAGGTCATATCACAAGCACGAGACCATGGGAGCACATCCAACATAACAACGAAGACACAAATCACAGTATTCTCACCTTTGGTTACCGTAAGGTGAGGATGCAAATGATAACAACATCAGATCAAACTAAAAATAACACCAGGAGGACTAGGTAACAATGACAATTTGTTTACCAATGGTATATAGAAAGCATCCTTACCAGTTGAATTTGGGCAGAGACGAGCCAACAGTTCAAACCGAATGTCCCTTTCACAATTCATTGTTCTTGTATGGATTTTGAAGATCTGTGTCCGACTCTCCAAGTCGGGAAGGCCGAACTCGACCTTCCTATCCAATCGTCCTGGCCGCAGTAGGGCTGGGTCCAGCGTATCAGGCCTGCAAAAAGATCCAATAAAACCCCATCGTATAAACAGGCAGATGTTAATTAAAAATCAGAAAGAAACCAAATATAAATCGTGTAAAACTGCAAAACAAATACACAAACAAACCTGTTTGTTGCCATCAAGACTTTAATATTTCCACGAGCGTCGAAGCCATCCAACTGATTCACAATTTCCAGCATAGTCCTCTGAACTTCATTATCTCCGCCCACACCATCATCAAACCGAGCTCCTCCAATCGCATCCACTTCATCGAAAAACACAATACAGGCCTTCTTTGAGCGCGCCATCTAAAAACAAAAAAAAAACAACTTACTTAGAGAATAGAGCAACAGAAAAATAGTACTCAAAATATTTCAATATGCTAAAACATGCAACTATTTCTAACCTGAAAAAGTTCTCTGACCATCCGAGCTCCCTCACCAACGTATTTTTGAACAAGCTCACTCCCAATCACACGAATGAAGCAAGCATCAGTTCTATTCGCGACAGCCCTAGCCAGAAGAGTTTTACCCGTTCCTGGAGGACCATAACAGAGAACACCCTTAGGTGGATCGATCCCGAGCTTCACAAATTTCTCAGGGTGAAGCATAGGCAGCTCAACAACCTAAGATAGACCAAGTATATATGCACACTGTTAAGTTTATATCCTAAACTCAAAACGGTAGATATTAATACATGTTAAACATAAGGAAACAAATTAACAATGCAAATAAAATGGTTAAAACTATACGCACTTCTCTCATCTTTTCAATCTGCTCCTTACATCCACCAACATCATTATATGTCACATCTGGCTTCTCTTCCACGGTCATCATGGTCACACTTGGATCAATTTTTGGAGGCAAAGGAATCTGAATTTGATACTTGTTCCTATCAACCCTGCAGTGGCAAACTAAAGGTTAACCAGAAAGACGCTACGATTTTAAACAAAACCCCAACTATAATCACTATAAACTAGCTAAAGATGTGAGCACATGATAAAACACAGCACTAATTGCAATCTCAAGAGGACAAACATATTCATCACTAAAAACACGAATATGGAATGCTATAGCAAAACATAATATAGCATGGTGATGAGCGAGGACATGAGAAGTATGCAAAGAAGGCCCAAAACTGCATTGCTGTATTAAATTACTATCCCTATTTCTTAAAGGGAACTGTTATTAGCACTCCAAAAATCTCATTCTACACTTCTCACAAGTGTATTTTTCTTTCTAATTATAGAAAGTTTGGAGTGTTAATAACAATTCCCTTCCTAAAAATTTCACTATTGCAGAAAATTCTTTTAAGATGTTTGTTGGCGAGTGGCTAACCAACTATTATCAAGCCTAACATTATGTGCTGCATCCTAAACGAGCGATGCTCATGGAAATAATCAAATAAGATTTGAAAAAGATGGAAAACAATCAGAGTTCACAAATAGGAGGGCCTACCCCACACGCATGCCTTCTTCTATATCCGTTGGGGAAACCTTGTCACCCAGACCCACAACAAACTGCAAAGAAATTACACAGCATTAAGAATGGAACAAGAAAATCAACAGATCAAAGATTGAAAAATAGAGCAAAAGTAAAAAAGAAATAAATAGCTGAATGGAAAAAAATTGATGAAAAAAGAGGTTAGACCTTGGCAATTTGTTTGACATTAATGACGTATTTAGCATCCTCGGAATTGGGATTGATAATCTTTGTACATCTAGCCACCTGGTTTCAACAAATTAATCAATGCCTCCTTATCATATTATAACACAAATCAGTGAGTGTATGGTTTCATGTGTAACCAAACCGAAACGAACCTGAAGAGGCTGTTCCTCCTGCATCATCTGCTTGTCGGAAACAAGATCATACTGGCTGGGTGCAGCCAACCCAGTGTCGGACTCCTTAATACCTGTAAAAGCAATCAAATTTAACTCGGCCCATCCACAAAGCTAACCACCCACAACTAGAACTTTCGAAATTCGGGGGACAAATCGAGTAAACAAGCTGCATACCGCGCAAGTCATTGACCTTTTTAGCCAAATCCTTTACTTCTTTCTCTGCTTGCTTAATGTGCTTCGAGTACGGCCCTAATCCCTGCATATCCCATTAAATCACCACAATCAATTAGCGCTAATCAAAGAAATTACTCTACGGGAAATCCCAGGATTATTAATTAGGGTTTTCGCTGAATCTGAAATCGGTGGGATTTAGGGTTTGTGGAAAAAGAATTGAGTTGAAGAACTTACATAGGTCTTCATGATGACGATGTCGTCCTCGTCAAGGGGTCTAGGGTTCTTCTCATCCTTGATGTCTTCTGGTTCTGGCGCCATCGGAGAGTTTAGAGAGAGAAACTAGAGAGAGAAAGAGTAGAAGTTTGGAGTTTGGGACTGTGCCCTGGTAAATGTTTCGTATTTCAATCGACCTTTTCTTTTTGCTCAAGCTAGCTATATGCCCAAATACGATACTCTGGGTTTTAATCACGTGATCTGCGCGTGCAAGGATTGGTCAAAGTTCAAATATGATATTCTTACCGTGTAATTATGTCATCTTAAGTGACATTTGACGCAAACAGATTAAATGACTAATAGTCATGAATTTTTAGTTGATCGATTTTTACTCCAATTAGATTAAAGTTAAGAGATCATCGTTACAATTTTCTCTCTATTTTTATACAATTAAATTCTAGCAAAAAGTTTGTAATTCGAGTAGTTAAAATTGTTTATCTTTGACAAAAAATTTGTAACTTGAGCGGTTAAAATTGTTTTTGTTATAGATTTTTAACTTTAATTAAAACCAAATTACAGATGTTGATTAGGATTGTTGACCAATAAAGTGTGTCAAGCCCCTGCACCAAGTTCAAATCCCTATTCTTAAGTTAGACCAACTCAACTCCAAAGAAAATGTCAAATTATAAGAGTCAAATTACAATTGATGGTCGATATGACAATCTAAAGTCTTATGTTAAATTTTGTACTTCTACAACCGAATTGTCAAATATTATTTTATTGTTTAAATAAAGCTTTAAATGGTTGTAATTATTAATAAAATGTTGAAACAAAATTTTTATTGGTTGAAATGTAAGTGAAATAAGGAACCAACCATTCAAATGAATTAAAATTATATTTGACATTAATGTCAAATTTGACTTCAAATCACAAAATCTTCAAATTCAATCAACAAATAACACTTCGATTGGAGAGACTGTTGATTTCAAATATGCAATGGCATTCCACCTGAATATTGACATCTCCTTTGGAGATGTCGAAACCCCCACAATAAGAAAACAAAAGGCAAAAACAACAAATCTTAATTTGCTTTTTTTTTTAGATATAAATAATAATATTTAATAAGTAAACAAAAGGATGAATTGGAAAGGCAAAACTTGATATGTGGGTGCATTTGGGATTGGGAGTCCTCTTTATTTCAGATGGACCACGGATGCTGTCCATCATCATAGTTCAAAATTTCCTTAGACCTCTAGGCCAAATGTTCAACAAATGAAGAAAAAGAAGAAACTTCTTTCCCCAATAGAAAACAAATGCAACAATGTAACTACATCGAGTCCCGGTACTTTAGAACGTCATGTGTGTTCAAATCATAGATTTTGCAGATATCCAATATAGCACATTCTTTGAGACCCTCGCGCTCGCCTCCATGACGAAGAAGCTCCTCAAGCTCTTTCGATGGCTGCAAAACCTATTTACATTGAGCAACCAAACAAGAAATTAGTAAAATGACAGAAAACTGAATGCTGGTATGTTTGACAGAGATCAATGTGTGTGATATTAGATATTATATGCATTTGCAAAAAGGTGTGTTTGTGTATGTACTATGTACAAGCAAATCTTGCATCTGCCTCCAGGAGGGCCTGAACATGCGTATCTCATGATTGACATACCAAGTGTCGATCAGATCTCATACGGAAAGGGTAACCAAAACTTACAAGTAATTGATGGACCGACCAGTAAAACTTACTAGACTCATACAACTAATAAAAACCGGAAGATAGGTCAAGTTGTCATCCACAACAAACCCTAAAAGTCTCAATTGTGCAAATGTGATAAAGGCTCTTGGAAATTAGGTTTATCTAACACAAACTGCGTAGTTAAGGGGATGCAATAAAAAACCAAGAAAACTACAATAATTTAGACCAGTACAGGGTTCTTTTAGGACTTCTGTCACAGACCATTGAAAATCAATCGCGTTGTCTCTAATTGCAGGAAATCATAAAATAACTTACATAAGGAGAATTGAATATCTCTTTGCTTCCACGCTGAGAGTCAATATGCTCTTTTTTATTTCCATCGGTAGTGGAACTTGGTGCCACAGAGCTATCTGAGACTAGCTTAAGGAGCTTCTCACTTCCCTAGAACATCAACATAAACAAAAAAATAAAGAATATTAATATATAGCATTTTGAAATATTAGCAATATATAATGGAACAACCAGGACAGAAGTGGTAGATACAAATTTGTACCACTGAGTGTCAACTCATTTGCTAATTTATTTTACAAAAGAAATCAGACTACAAATAGTTTCATGAAAACACTGTATGCAACGCACCTTGAGAGCTCGCCAATGAGAATAAGTACGGAATAAACACCAGAAGAAGGGAATATTAGGCAAAGGCAAAACCTGCATAGGAAATATCAAGAATGTGAATTTTGTTGATCTGGCAAAAGGAAATGTAAATTGAGAAGTGCAAAAGAATTAAAGGATCAACAGAGTAGTAAATTCATAGTAAAATCAGAGTTGAAAACTCAAGTTAACACATACGTACAGCACATGCTGATGTCAGAGGAAGCAACGTAACTGAACCATATAAATACTTTCTGTGTATGATAGATCCCCTGATAATCAGACAAACTTCATATCAGTAAAGTTTGATCTCATCATAGATACATACAATGAAGATTAAAGCCATCTTCAGTATCCCTTCAAGTAACAAGCACCAAATGTATCACAACATAGGAGCTTTAGGCAAACTAGTTCCCTAAGGTTAAATATTCAAAGCCAAATTTCATATCACTCACTCAATGTTACATCATGCAAAGAAACACAAATTTCTGTTTCTTCAAAATCTAGGGTTAAGTCATAAGAACTTTTTAAATGAAACAATAAACATTGAATGAAAGCTGCTACTTGATTTCTATTGGGTCAAGGAACGACTCAATGCATCAGTTTGATTTCATATAGATTCAGTGTTTCGGTTCTTGGTAAATATGAAGGATAGGAGAGAAAATAATTGATACCATCAAGAAATTGTGACAACATGTAGATTCAAACTCTTATTATCAACTTTGAAAGCAAGAGAATACCTCATGGCAATATGTCGTAACCTCCTACGCACATGTTGTGCATTTAAGCTGCAAAACCCTAACATATGATCAGCACACCAAAACTTAAAACGTGAAAGGATATCACACAAAGAAAAAGTATAAATAAAACTAGAAGATCGACTGTTTATTCTTTTCACACTTCAACCTAGCACAATGACATACTTCGACTGAAAATTACTAAGTGTGTAAGAGTTGTGATGGGAATAGGTTCAAAGTTGAAATGCTTAGTTTTTATTCCCATGAGCCTATCTAATAGAAAAAAAGCACCATATAACTTCTGTTAAGTCCTCTCTATCAACTTTACTTGAAACAAAATTTCAGATCATCATGGGCTGTTGCATTTGCCGTTAAAACTAAATGTGTTATCTTTACAAATAGCAACGAATGAATAAACTGAGCTATTCTATATGTTTGACTATTGGTTTTGTTTTCCATAGAGATCTAACAGAAAGTGGAGGAAAAAGTTAAAAACGACAGCTATTTTAAAAAGCAGGTTTGCAAGTGAGAGAAACAGAAATAAACCTGGAAGGGTATTTAACTTCAACACCTGTGACCTCATTAGAGATCGATTTTAGGAAAATCTCAGACGGCTTAACACGAGACAGCAGCTTCAATCCCAATCTACACCATTAAAAGGTTTCTCAAGTTAAAAATACAGAAACAACCTCGAGTGGTGATATGAAATGAAATCACCAAAATATGTTGAGTGAGTTTGTAGTTTCATTTACCCATGAATCTTGTTCTTAAAACTTCCCTGAGGCGACTTCTCCAGACCGATCCAAGCTATGTTCATCTACTCACCGAAACACAAAACCATTATTTCCAAACAGATAAGACAACCCAAGTCAAAAATAAAGCAGCAAGATTAACAATAGGAAAATGGGTTTTGCTATGGACCTTGGTAGAGACAAAATCGATGAGGAGCTCAGCGTTGACAGCTAAAGGATTGGCAATGGCCTTGTCATTGGCATTGGAATTGTACTTCTTCCACAGGCCTTTGAGAGTTGAAGGAGTCTGAGATGGAGGGGAAGATGCAGAGTCTGAAACCAGAGGCTCAACGGATCTGCTGAAGCACCAGTTCCTCCCTCTAACCGGAAAAACTATCACTCTCGCTCTCATCCTTCCCAATTCCCACAAAGAATATGAACCCTAATTCTTGTACAGATATTGTTTTCGTGATCATTCAGCACACAAAAATTACCAAAACGAGTTTTTTTAATTTTATTTATTTATTTATTTTAAATAATAACAAAAAATTGAATCTTTGATTTGGGTTTTGATTTTTGATTAAAATAAATCAATGGAATTGGTATATTCTAAGAAGGAGACGAAGAATCATTGAATCTTCATCTTCCACAGGGATTAAATGGTACTAATATTAAAATTAATTAAAAATTTGTTTTAATCACAGACCAAACCAACGGGGTATAGGAACAGAAACACAAATATTTCAAGTCAAATCGACAAATTAAACAATAATTCATACGATGAAGCAATTCTGCAATGTAAGAGTTCTAGGATTGAACGTTTTGAGAAAGAAAAAAAAAAGAAAGAAAGAAAGAAAGGAAAAGCTAAATACAACCAACCAGCTGGGAAGCGACGAACACCAAATACTGAGTCACGAGTCACGGACAGTGGAAGGAAGAGTACGGATTGCACAGGGAGGTGGAGGAGGGAGAAGTGGCGCCATGGTTGCGTGCGTGTTGGTGAAAATTGTGAATTTTGTGATTGTGATTTGTGACTGAGAGGGAGGGGAATTAGAATGGAAGGTTTTACTTCTCGTTTTTCCACGTGGACTATGGAATTTAGTCATTTTGCTATTATTGGGCCTAGTGTGTCGCTCCTCGCTTGATCCGTATTTTTGCGACACGTCTGCTTTGCATAGAATATCGAGAATCGGACCTAAAATGTTTGCTTTATATAGAATTTTGAGAACATGTTTACTTACGAGAAAAGATATTTCGTTAAATTTATTCACTTTTTTCACATTTATGATCACATGTGAGAAACTAGAAAAATGAATGCGATCGTATCTTAAAATCCTTAATTAAATGAAAGTAATTGATCCAATTCTTCAATTTGTTTTACTTTGCCGTTCATAGTAAGTAAGCACGCTATGAGATCACATGTATGTAATCGAAAAATATGCGTTTTTTTTTTTAAACTGCTTCTGATGTGCTTTATGAATAATCAGCCGTTAAATAAAATTGTTAAACATTTGATAAACTTGATTAAAAGTGCTGTGAGTATGAAAAGCAGTGTAGGCGTTTGATAGATTTTAATATAAAAGTGATATAATTGTATATAATGACAAAAATAGACATGATAGTGTAGGCAAGGATGACGATAACTATGTTAAGGGAAATGGTTGTGATGGTGGTGGTGCCAATAACAAGGTGTGGTGGTTGGGATGCAAAGGTAACAATGGTGGTAGGGATGGAGACAACAATGATGGTGGCGATTATGGTGGCAGTGGTGGCAATGGTGGCAAGAGTGGCAGTTATGGTTGTGGTGGTAGTTATAATGGTGTTGGTGGTGGTGGTTGTGGTGCGATTGTAGTGTGGTGCTGGTAATGGCAACGGTGGTGTAAGAGGTTAGGTTTTGTAGTGGTAGGTGGTGGTGGTCATTTTGTTCTCCAATTTTTGGACACATAATGTCATTTTTAAAAATGATGAGCATAATACAGGAAAAATATTCATTAAAGACTCAACTTCGCTTTTTATTAAACCAGCTTTTAAAAACAACCTACAAGCTGTTTTTAAAAGTTATTGTCTGGAGGCCATTGATTTTAAAATAAGCAGGATATTTTATTTTCACCAAATATTTTTTTTATTGCTTAATTTTACAGTGAAGCAGTTTTGGTGAAAAAAAGCAATACCAACTGGGGCTTAATTCTCTATTCTTTAGTTCTCCAATTCGCTTTACTGTCCCGTTAGTAAGTAAGAATGCTATGAGATTACTCTAATTTCTAATTACCTCACATTTACAACAACTGTCGTATTAAATTTATGCAAGTCCCCAAAAATCCAAATAGCGATGGAGGTTTATACCATCTTTAAAGAAGATGTCAAAAATACTACATAAATATATAATAGTAACAAATAACGTACTAGTTTACTTCAACCACAATGCAAAAACTGACGTGTAAAAGAAAGTTGGGCTTTGGACATCAAAATTGGAAAAGGATCCGGTCCAGGGGATCTTAGGGAACCGGATGATTGTAACCGTTCATCGTACATCATGCAGTCAGTTTTCGTTAGGTACTTTTTATATTTAACCTTAAATTTAAATTTTAAAATGATTTTTTACCGTACAATGTACGATGAATGATCACGATCATGGATCCTTAGGATCTCTTATCCGGCATCAAAATTGACCCCATGAAGCACAGGCGTCAAATCAGTCTTTTGATTTTTTTTTTCCCAAAGTATACTAAAGTGTTTTTTATTTTTTATTTTTATGCTAGGGAGATTAAATTCATAGACAAAATTGACAAATTAAATGATGTATCACTAATAGAAATGAACACGTTTATCAACGCTCAAGTAATAAACCAATCATCAACTTTCATATCATTTAGTTTGCAAACTTTTATCTACAAATTTAGTCTCTCTAGGATTACCCTGGTTTTTTTGTTTTTAAACCAGCAACTACACAACTTTTACCATTTGTTTGGAAAAAAAAAACATAAATAAAGCAATGAATTTGGGCATATTAAAAGATACTAGCAATATGTCAAATTGTCAAGTTAGCGATTGAATCGAAATTTGATATTTTGAATTTAACGTTTCTTTTACTATTTGTTTGAAAAAAAAAACATAAATAAAGCAATGAATTTTGGCATATCAAAAGATACTAACAATATGTCAACTTACCAAGATAACCATCAAATCAAAATTTGATATTTTGAATTTAACGTTTCTTTTAGAGATGCTTTTATTGTACCCACATTCTTTCACTTCCTCAATTTATAACTTTTCTCTCGTCCCAATAATTAAACATGTCATATTATTTGTCTTTGCATACTAATTACCACCTCACTCCACTATCCCTGCTTTTATTTTATTTTCCAATTTGGCAACTGTTTCGGATTCCAAATCCAAATTCGAAATTCCAATTCGAGTGTTGTAATGGTGTTTCATCTCAAATTGGCACTTTTTTGTTTTGGTCTGGCATCCATGATTTTGATACCAAACTGATGCTATGTCATAATTAATCACATCTATTTGGTGTCACAAGTTTCTTTTAAACAAAGTTAATGCTTGGTAACAACGAAAATTCGACAAATTTGTCAGTGTAGTGTGCCTGTTATACTTCGGAGATAAATCAACAGTGGTATATAAACAAAAGTGGGTGTGTTTAATAGCCCCAACAGTTTCAAGAATTTTTCGACTCGGAATCAAAATACGGCTGGATCTAAATGTTTTAGATGGAACAATCATATATGATGATGCGAAATTTTCGCAGTTTCAATACTTCATTAGCAAACAACATGTGCATAAAAAAAGATATGAAGTACTTGGAACTAACAGAAGACTTGGTGCAAAACCGTGCGCAATGGCAATCTAAAATTCATACAGCCAACCCCACTTAATGGGATAAGGCTTGGTTGTTCTTGTTGTTGTAGATGCCGCTATCATACACTAATATACATTTCAATTAATTTCAGGGTAAACCTACCACAAACAGGAAAGCATACGACGTAGGCAGGTTAAACCACAAAGAATAACAACAATCACCAAACAATGAATATACTATTTTTTTCATTCATTCTCTGCTATGAAGTTCGGATCTTCACCTTGGCAGAGGTATTCGTCACACAACGACGCTGATCCCCAATCCTTCCGGAGCCTCAAGATATCCTCTGTGAAGGTGGATCCAGATGCTCCAATGAAAACACTGGACATTGCACATATGGTCTTATCCAGCATAGCTTCTACCTACAAAACATGATAAAGGCATATAAGTTACACGGATCTTAAGCAGTCGCGATCATCTGTATAATAACGGACTGCATGCTAATGCAACAATAGAATGTTAAAATTGTAGCATACTCTACCTGAGCATCCCCCTCGATTCCTTGTCTGTATAATAAAGCATCCCATTTTTCAGCTGAATTTCGTGCAGGCCGTTTAACAAGTGGTACAGTCTTTCCATTCACCACAACTAGTGACTGCAACAAACCAGTTTCACTTTCAGCAGCGTCTGTCGAAAGATAAACGACTGGTGCATTGGCCCTTTCTGCCACCCGAATGATGCAATCCGCAGCTTGGGGAATGGGGTAAAAGCAACTTGGCTGTTTATTATTGCTGGAAATAAGCAAGGAATTTAGAGGCAGTAAACAAATACATCCCAACAAAAAATGCTAATGGCGTGCACCCCAATCGTTTAATGCCACAATTCACAAGACGCAAATCCGATAAGTAAAAAGCACACCGTAATTAGACTATATACTGACGCTTTGATATCATTGTAAACTAACAAGTGACAACCAAAGCCCTCACATCGATCTCCCTAAAATGATCAATTGTTTCATCGTTAAGTCCAGTTAAGTTGGGTCATTTATAGCCACGGTTTTGCACTTTTTGATGCCTGGAGATCACGGCATTTAAAGGAGGAAGCTTGTTTAGATTTAGCCATTCCAAAACAGTCTGAGAATGTTTATCCAATATCACAGCTACCTCTAAGTAAACCAAAATGTTTGCTTATACATGAACTCTAAGGCCTCGTTTGTTAGAGAGGATTCGCTTGGGTAGGACTATTCACTATAAGGTATTTTAAAGAAATAAATGAATGACAACTTCCGTATTTTGTCCAAGTTCAAGGTTACGAAAAGTTGTCCCTTTTAATCCTACCATTTTTTTGGATTAATAGAGATATCTTTTCTCCGTGAGTAACTTTCGAACTTGCACAAAATAAGGAAAAATAAGGAAGAAGACAATCCATTTCTTCCTTAAAACGCCTTCAATATAGTGAAAAGTCCACCCAAGCCAATCCTCACTATCAAACAAGGCCTAAGTTTCTAACTCTATCTACATTTTATGGTTGAAAAACAATCAAGTGAAAGAGAATGTACCAGAACTTCAAAAACCCATGTCGCCGAAAATGAAGAGCTACGAAGTTCTTCCCAAGGAATGTCTGAATGAAACGCTGGGCAGTAAGCATTATAAGCCTACTCGGTTCGATCAGAGTCTTGCATTTGTGAGCAAGAGGACCTCTAGCCTGCATCACCCACTCCTGCTCCAAATCAGCAAAGAAAACATCCCCAATTGCAATAACATCATCATTACTCGAAAATTTCGACTGAACATCTTGCACAGTCCTCTTGGTTGGCTTCTTCACGTCCTCAACCCAAGCCGACTCGAGCTTATTCATCGAGACCCCAGCTCCCTTCAGCTTCTTAACATGCTCATCGTCGACATAGCAAGGGGTCGGATGCGAAAAATAGCAGATAAACTTATCAATGTGGACGTGATTCTTCTTCTTCTCATCCAATTCTTCAAATGTAACCACAACCGTTCTGCCCAAGCATTTGTTAATGTGCTCAATGTCCAGCACCCTACTGAACTGGTAATCCACTTTGGGGCTGGGAATCACCAGAACCCGGTTCAGCAATGCGGCGAAGAACATGTGTTTCTCCAAGCAGATCAAATGGTTCGACATTTGGCCCGAAACGCAAATGGCGAAAAGATATTTGTTGGAGTTGGGTTTCCATTCAATCGTTCTTCTCTGAGAGAATTGCTGGTCCACAGCTCGACAGCGATCGCCGAGACTCGGGTTTTCAAAATCTCCGAAATCCCGGAAATCGGGCTCCGTGGAGTTTCCGGTGCGGTGGGGAGATAGGAGGACTTGCTGGATGTCTCTGTTGAGTGAAATCTGACGGAGGACGGCGGATTTGAAATCGTCGAGGAGAGGGATTTGGGTGGGATCGGAGTGATTGGAAGTGGAATTAGTGGGATTGGGGAGTGTTTGGTTCCAGAGATTGAAAAGGCTTACCTGCTGCTGCTTGAGCAAGTAGAGGGCACGGAGCTCGGACTCCAGGAGCTTACCCGAGGCGGAGTCGTAGGGGGAGGAGGAGAAGTTTCCGGTGGTGAAGAGGAGGGATTTCATGTCGGTAACGAAGAAGAGGATGACGAGGAAGGTAGGGACGAAGATGGCGAGGAGGACGAAGGATCGCTTGTTGAAGAGGTCGCCGAGCTTGAGGGAGGTGAAACGGCGTCGTAATTGGTGGTGGAAGTAGTGGCGGTTGTTGCTGTTGTTGTCGATGTCGTCGTCGGCGATGTGGAAGGCGGCGGCGGCGGTGGATCGAGGGGTGGGGAGCTTTCTGTCGTTTTGATCGATTAGGTTTTGGCGATCGTCGTCGTCGTCCGAGGAGGACGAAGAAGTTCTGTCCATTTTGGGTGGTGCTTTTGGCTTTTCGGAGAAGCGGCAATGTGGAATATCTGTGGCGTTGTGACAGTTGGACTGGCGCTTGGAAAAAGCCGCTTTCTTGTCGGCTTTTTGCTTGTGTGTGTGCGTGAGACAATCGGATGAAGTGAATGAAACGCAGAGCAGAGGGGGAAGGCGGAAGCCCAGTGGTGGAGGATGTGGGATGGAGCTGTCGATGGAGGGTGTCGGTAGACGAAAGTGACAACGTACCGGCCCACCATGCAGGTTGGGATTGGTTTGGTCTTCAGTCCATTCAACCAGCTCTCTATTTCTGCTGTGAGTTTGGTTGGTAGTTTGGTAGGCTAGTATTTATTTATTTGCCTATAGAAAATGGTAAAAATGTTTGAGATTTCACTATAAAATTAATTGGTTAGTACATGAAATGTCCTTTTTTCCGAGAAATTATTAGATGGTACAGTATTAACACCTGGCACTTATAGCTGGTAGTACCTACCAATAAATGCATGATATGTGGCAAGTTAATTATTAAATAAAAATTAATGGCTGGATTTTATAAGAACCTAACGCCATTAGGTCTCTGCCAAAAAACTGATGTCTGCCTCTTCTCCTCCCCCACGCCTTCTCCTCCTTTTCCGCCGCAATTGATTCCTCGTATCCCACCTCCTCCTTTTTCGCCAAAACCAAAAGCTTTTGTTGCGCTCCCAATCCAATCCCTCCTTTCTCAAGAAAATGAAAGCTCTGCACCGTTCAAAAAAAAACCTCATCCATGTTTACTTGAATCAAAACCCAGAAATCTCATGCTACAGGTACTGGAAATTTTTGCTTGAATCTTACTGCAATTTGGTATTTTTTTTTCTTGAATATGACTGCGAAAACCAAAAATATGTGTTTCTGTTATTATTTTCTTCTTAAAGAAAAGAAGGACAAGAGACAAAATCTTATGAATTGCCAATTTGTTTAACTAAATCCATAAAGTGTCCGTGTTCTTACTAATTCATTGTATTTGATTAAGTGGGATTTTGGTATATACCAGGAATTAAAAGAATGTCTATCAAGATCTGATGAAACTCCAGGCAATGCCCTATGTCCTTTGGGTATAATGCCCATGGATTAAAAGAGAACTTCTATGGGATTTTTTTTCATTTGATTAAGCTTTTCTCTCTACTGTTTTTTTTTGTTGGGGGGGGGGGGGGGGGGGGGGAGGTCTCAGATTGCAAGAATGAAAGACAACTTGAATTGGATTTTGGGTTGCTTCAAATTACTACTTTCAGCTATAGCTACCGTTCAATTTGGGTTAGATGTATAGAATTGGATTTGTTGTATCAAATGCTACAATTTTGTAGTGACATACAAAGTGTTAATAGGCTTTTGCTATTGTAAGTACAAGTGAGCATGTGGTTGTAAATTGTAATGAAACAAAATGGTATCTTATACAACTCAATGTATGGCTGACATGATTTCTTATGCCTTGGCGCTTTGCTCCTTATATGCTTTATTCACTATGATATATAGCATGACAGTACATTACTCAAATGACATGCGCACTCTATCTTAAAACGAGAAAGATATGGAAAAAAATTAAGAGCAAAGTTATTGTTTCCAGTTACTGTAATCTCAATGCTTCCTTCCCTCCAAAATAACAAAGTTGTCGAACAAATATTCACCACAGCATACATCCGGTTCAAAATCAAAATAAGTAAAGGCTTCTAATTAAAAAAAAAAAGATTTAAAGGTTTCCAACCCAAAACATATCATCTTCCACCTGCACCCAAAAATAATAAATCAAGTTTAGTAGTGAAAAACAAGAAAAATCTTAGGGTAACTTAAAAGCATTTAAAAGTGATTTACTCTTAATGTATTGTAGAAATTACTCCTTTGGATTATGTTGTCGCCCATAAACATATGGATGTGAGTCCTGCATTACATATGGCTTCACATGAACTAAATGCTAAAAAAACAAATATGCCTTGTGTGATAAACAAATCAAACCTGGCTGAGTTGAGGATTTAGTCCAAAGGGTTCGTGTGCGATAAAACTTGAGGATGAATTCTGCCACATGTATATAACAAATGTATAAAACAAACAAGAATTGCCATGTGTATTCATAAATTCCGCCTTCTCAAAGTAAATCGATCAATACCTGACTCGCCATAAATTGACTATCTTGTAGCATAGTTGTAAATGAAAAACTAGGTTGGATTACTTGGTTATATGGAGGCAATGCATGATTGTTTGTTGTTAACAAGCTCACAGCTGGGAAGACCTGTGTAACATTTATAAGATGATATGCAATTAGTCGAATTTAGAGAAGATAAGAGCACTCAAGGTCTTAAAACATACATCACTGTAAACTAACAAATTAGTTTACTTGGTTTGATGGAGGCAATGCATGACTATTTGTTGTTAACAAGCTCATAGTTGGGTAAACCTGCGTAACATTTGTACTAGTGGGTACACTGAGTTGTTGAAGAAAATTTGAATCATATGGTGTTGAACTATGTGAAGGGCCTATATTGCTTGGCTTCTTGGTTTTCCCTACAAAACAAATTAAAAAATTTTAAGTAAAAAAGAATATTAGAATTACATCTAATAGTCAATAAAAATATAAAATTTTACTTACCAGATGAGACAGTATCTTTAGATGCCTTTTTTTTTCGTTTCTCCATAGCACTTTTTAATCTGGCATTGCTTACTCCTTTCGGCCTTACCAACGGAGGATTCAATATTGATGGCTCATCAACTGAGCAACCATTTGCATTACAATCATCATCATTGTTATCATTGCTCTCTTTATTAACTTCACCCTTTGACTTGATCATATCCTTTTCAATCAATTCCTCCATCTCTCCCAATTTTTTCATGGCAACTCTAGTAGCACTTTCGGACTCTGCTCCCTTACTCAATATATTATAAGCCATTCGCATCAAAGCATTTCGACGCAATGTAACATATGGTTCACCTTTTACCTGCAATAATTGACTATGCTCATTTGCATGCAATCCTTTCTTTGCATCTTTTGTCCAACGCTTCAATATATGTTGTGAAGGTATTTCAATCCAAGATTTGACGTTTAGTACCCTTAGAGTATGACGACACAACAAACCCATGGACTCATACATTTTGCAGCTACAAGAAACCATGCCATCTGATGAGTTAAGTTGGACAAGCTAAACTCTTGTGTGACCCTCCTCATTAAGTTCAAACGAGTGTATTGTACCACAACTCTCATATTCATGCATTGTCACTGCTAAGCTATTCAAAAACTCTTTCAAATATTTTAAACATTTTCCTAGTGTAGACAGTAGCAGCATGCTTCAAATTTCCACTCATTTGGGCAACTTTAGAAGGGAGACCCTGATTGCAATGATAAGACTCTTCTGATTCACTTGTACACATTTTTGCTGCTTGTTTATCATAATGATGCACAAATTCAATAAGTCTCATTGTCTTGGTAGAAATTTGGTGTAAAACATTATTCGTGCTCTCACTTCTTTGTGAAGATTGTATCCGACATGTGAAAGTATCATGGCTAAATGCCGGACACCATTTGGCACGAAGCGCATACAACATATTCATCCGTGAGCACATCCGTGAGCACTCTGTAAGGTTGACTTCTGTAACTAGCTCATCCCAAGTCGACTGGAATTCCAATTCCGTCTCACAATATTTAAGACATTTATTGAACAAACGTCTAAAATCAGGGTTCGCATAGAGACTTGACATATTTTTTGTACAATTCTGAGAAATGTGCCACGAGCATAAATGATGACATACCCAAGAAAAAACTTTTTCAATGCCATTTGCCATAGCTTGACACTGATCAGTAAAAATTGTCTTTGGCTTTTGACCTCCCATTGATTCCAAAAAAGTATCAAATAACCAAGTAAACGTTTCTGTTTTCTTATCCAGTAAAAATGCACAACCAAACAATACATTTTTCCAATGGTGATTAACGCCGACAAAAGGAGCACAAATCATGTTATACCTATTGGTACGATATGTAGTATCAAATACTACAACATCCCCAAAGCACTCATAGTCAAGTCGCGACCTTCCATCTCTCCAAAAAAAGTTTGTCATTCGATTTTCTTGATCCACTTGCACAGTGTAAAAGAACATATGATCTTCTGCTTGCTTGTGCTTGAAAAGGTTGATCAAACTTTGAGCATCCCCTGCTTCAAACATGACCATTTTTTCCTTATTCACAACATTGTAGCAATCTCTTTGTGTAAAACCTACATTCTGAGACCCACCAGCTTCTTCTGCTAAATAAGAATATGTATTTGTAGTTCTTATTCCTGCAACTGCCATGGTTTTAATCACACCCAACTGAGCTTCAGAAACTTTTCTATTTGATCTCAAAAACTGCCTCTCTTCTGGTTTAGCAAGCTCGTGATTGTGTTGAGAAAAAAATTGAGCAACTTTCAACGTACCATTCGTTTGTACTGCAAATCGAATTCCAGCTTTGCATCCTATTCTTGTCTCTAGTTTATAAGAATTGCTTGCTTCTGACGGGTCACCATCTACCTTAAAACCTTCTTTTGAACAAAGATAACAAACTTGTCTTAGTTGATTCTTTCTATTATATCTCTTTTGTCCCTTACGAACACTGAATCCAAATGTCGTAGCATAGTTGTTGTAGAGATCATAAGCTTCCTTTTCATTTAGTACAACTTTTCCCACGAAAATGTCATCGAAATTCTCCATTCGATTCACATTGACTGGATCTTCTTCTCTATTATTTTCTTCATCACTTTCTATATCAATGATTGGATCTTCTTTCTGATTATTTTCTTCATCACTATCGGTATCAATGAATACTGTACAAGAAAAATTTGTACGTGAATGAAAAATGTGTACGTAATTGAATGGTTAAATAATGGATGCAAAAATAACAGACATATGATAGCAGTCGAATAACAAGTTAAAAATGAAAAGAGAAATTGCTAAAAAGATAAACCAAATAGGCTGATAGGTTAAATATTTTACTAGTATCCATATTCTTCCTTGGTGAAGCTTTGCTTTTTTGTGAATGGTGCGGAGCCTACTTTTTTAGAATGGTCCCAGAATTTAAACAAGCTAGAATCGAAAAGGGTAAAACAAAATTCAAGCAAGAAATTGCAGTAAGACTCAAGCAAAAAATTCCAAATTGCAGTAAGATTCAAGCAACAATTTCTTGAAAATCATTGAAGGAGTCTGTTCATTCCCTCCTTTGCATGTATACGTTATCTCTTGTCCTACTTTTCTTTATGATCAATACAAACACATACTAGCTTATCAAATTCAACACCAAATGACATATAACACTGCCTGGGTTTTACATCACTGCCTGCAGTTGCAGGTTTAAGAAGAAAATAATAACAGAAACACATATTTTTGGTTTTCGCAGTCAGATTCAAGCAAAAAATACCAAATTGCAGTAAGATTCAAGCAAAAATTTCCAGTACCTGTAGCATGAGATTTCTGGGTTTTGATTCAAGTAAACAGGGATGAGGTTCTTTTTTTTTTTTTTTTTTTTTTTTTTTTTGAACGTTGCAGAGCTTTCCTTTTCTTGAAAAATGACGGATTCGATTGGGAGCGCAACAAAAGCTTTTGGTTTTGGCGAAAAACCAAAAGGTGGGATACTAGGAATCAGTTTTGGCGGAAAAGGAGGAGAAAGGCATCAGGAAGGAGGAGAGGCAGACAGTCATAGCAGTTTTTTGGCAAAGACCTAACGGTGTTAGGATCTTGTAAAACCCAGCTATTAATTTTTATTTAATAATTAACTTGCCACATGTCATGCATTTATTGGTGGGTACTACCAGCTGTCAGTGCCAGGTGGTAATATTGTACCATCTAATAATTTCTCCTTCTTTCCATTTTATTCTCAACAAGCCTCTTCATCTGTGACAAATTTTCCAATCAAACATGTGAACAACACAAGCGAAGTGACGTGGAGGTGGACCATGCGTGGCCTTTGTGCTTCACACATGGGTAAACTACTTTGATACACATGGGTTATGTGGAGCACATGTGGCATTTGGACTTCACATGCGGGGCAACTTACTTTAATACCATGAATAAAGTTGAGAATTCACTATAAAACTAGTCGCCAATATAGGAAGTAACACAACTTACTTATAAGTTGTGGAGTAAAAAAATAATCAAGAAAATTATGGAGGCGACACATGTACTCTTGGGTTAAAAAGATAAAATTACCCTTGAGGCACACTGAAGCTTCTACGCACAAGCAGCAGATAATCACAATTCAATCAAGGTCAAAAGTGATCAAAATAAGTAATGATTCAAAACCTATTTCATCAATCCTCATCAAATCCTCCCCACAAGGTAACTCCCAAATTATTTCTTTCAAATTATATTAATTGGCTAACTAATTGATTTATTACTAAATTAATTCATTAATTAGCTAATGAATTGTGAATCACACCCAAAAAATCACTAAAGTGGCCAGTTCCCATCTCTCCCAAAGGGGCAGGCCACACCCTATAAATATCACCCAATTTTCTCCAAAAAAAACCAAGTTGAATCCTCTTGCAAAATTCTCTAAATTATCCAAACACTTTTCTCTCAAAATTCTTACTTTAACATCAATGGTTCTTTGGCCAAAGGACCCCCCCAAATTCTTCGTGGGCGCGTGAGACTCTTGGCTTTGACTTAATAAGGTGTTAATTGTTTTGTATGTGCGATTTTGTCCAAGAAGGAGAAGACGGAAATTTGCATCCACGTAAGTCAATGCATGATCACTTCTCAAATCAACATGGGATTCATCATCAATAAAAGCGCTATTTGATAATAGAAAATATATACTTTTATCTCGTTGAAGCGTTTGAAGAAACATATTTTTGGTGCTTGTCCAAGAACACATTCAAGTGTCTGTAAAAAAATCACTTGAATTTTAATAAAAGCAATTCATTGCGTTTCTAATAAAAGAGTGTTTGATGCAATTTCTACGAGACCCACCTCACATAACTTATCACAGAAGAAATTGTGGAAGCAGTTTGCTTGTTAATAATTGTTTGAAATGTACATCACAAATCACATCAATTGCTAATATGCTAGTGGGATCGGGAAAGTGTGATAAACAAAGCGTTCAGAATCAAATCATTTCTAGTGGGATCCAAGGAAATAGCAAGCTCTAGCATTTTCTACAAGTTTCAATAATTTAAAAGAGTGTGACACGTCTCACTAAGAGGACATGTGGCGGCCCATGTAAATGCCACGTGTCAAATGCTTCATTTGTTCATCACTCGCTCATGAGAATAAAAAAGGGGAAGCCAAGGATTTTGTAGGAAAATAATGAAGCAGCAGCAGGGAAGACTAGTGTTTCGATGGTGGTCAAGAGCTGGAGGCATTACTGGCCCTAGTGCACCGGGTTGCCCTAACAAGGCGGAGCTGCCGCGTTTTATGACAGTCAAAGCGCCCAACCGTGCCGCCGTTCATGGACATAGGCTGCCTATCCCTCGTGTCGTTGATGTACGTTATGCTCCGTTTCATGTTCCTTGTCTAACAGGGATTCCTTCTTTAAGGCATATATATTTTCTTTTGCGTTTTGAGATTTCACTTTAAAATTAATTGACAATTTATATTATTTTTTAATGTATCGTGTTATGCTATGTTTCTATAATAATGAGTCGATGTCCTGCACATATTTTTTTTTGGGTCAGTTTTCTTGAAATCCAAGTGAAAATGGAATAATAGGAACACTACTATATAAGTCATTATAGGTTAACTTTTAGTGTGGATAAGTCTTCACATCCTCACATGTATTATTGTGTTTTTAAATTAAAATGTTAATCGTGAACGAATCGAGTGATTGAAGTTTGTAATTGGACTATACATATAGGTTAACCTACTCTCAAAATCTCAAAATCAATTAGAACAAATTGAGTGACGTGAAGTCCATGGTTTGACTGCACGTATAGGTTACCCTACTCTCCAAAAAAGTTTAGAAAGTTGGAGATTTCATCTCAAAATCAATTAGTACAAATATAATGACGTGAAGTTCGTGGTTGGGCTTCATATATAGGTAAACCTTCTCTAAAAGAAATTTTAAAAGTCCAATGTTTCATCTCAAAATCAATTGGCCCAAATTAAGTGATGTGAAGTCTGTTGTTGGGATACTCATATAGCTTAACCTACTATCGAAGAAAGTCTAGAAAGTTCGAAGTTTAATCTCGAAATCAATTAGCAAATGAGACGGTACATAGCTCAACTCCTTATAATGTCTTTTATGATCCTTTTGACTTCCAATCTTTAACAATCCTTCATACCTTCACATGTTTGTTTTACATATATATTATAGCACGAAACATGGCATGAAAGTTTTGATGAGCATATTTATGGCACCTCTATCATAGCAGAGATGCTTTAAATATTCTGAGAATCCCCAACCCTTTCGATGTTTCATGTCCGATGGGGGGTCTTTCTTTGTGGTTTTGTAGGAGGAACAAGTACAGAAGGTGATAGAGAAAGGGAAAGAGGAGAAAGAAGAAAAGAGGCGGGAGGTGGAGAAGGCCGTCGACTCCAAACTCAACGGCAGCCGCTGCGAGGGCGACGCCTGACCTCCTGAGACTGAGACTAGTGCTTCTAGTTCTAGTTAGTTAATCTACCATCAGCCTCATAAACCGTTGGTGTTTCATGTTGTAAGTTACTTATATATGCTTTTATTTGTCTGTGTGTACAACTTATTATCCAACATAATGCGCCAAAGAATCTGGTGCTACCCAGCACTAGGAGGTGCCATTGGAGTTCATAAGAAACTCTAATGCTACTTTTCAAGCCAACTCGGCGACCTGACGGATGCAGACGACAACTGTTGTTTCGTCGAAGAAGATGTGACCAAAGGCATGCCTCATAAGCTCAAAGTTATATAAGGACTCGTGGTAGAGAAGTTAAAAAATTTAGGGCTGTTTGGTATCATATTTGAAATTTTTTATCATTTTTCAAAACATTTCTTAAAAATATTTCTTGAAAACAATTTTTTTTAAGACTCAAAAACTTGATTGGTTCGCGATTTAAAATTTTTAAACCTTATGACTTAAACTAGACAAAAAGATCTAAAAAGAGGCGGTGCAGGAGAGGGAGAAAGAGGAGTGAGGAGGAAATAAAGTAAAAGATGGTTGATGGAAAGAGAAATAAGAGAGAGGATCGGACGAGCTAGAGAGGAAGATGAGTGAGAGAAAGAACCGAGAGAATGATGAGAACGGATTGGAGAAGAGACGAAAAAGGTAAAAAAAAAAGGAGAGAGAAAGAAGAAAGAAGAAAGATATAGATTTGGAGTGAGAGGGGAGGAGGGAGAGAAAAGAAATGAGTGATTTTAAGTTTAAAAACTCACTTTTTATGTTTTTATAGAATAAACTATATTTTTGAGTTAGTCTTGAGTTCAGTTTTTTTAAATAATCATACCAAACAAGTTTTTAAAGCCTAAAACTTGAAAATTGTTTTTTAATTTAAAAAGTTGGATTCAAGTAGAGTATCAAACAGAGTTCTATTGAGTGGCGATTTTTAATAGATTTGGACATATGGCGCATTTTGAGCAACTTATTCAAAATTAGTCTTACTCTTCCAATAATTATTAAATAATATCAATATTTTAACATTAAAAGAAGGAAGAGTTCAAGTCATACGATGAACAGCCTAATTTGGTATCGAATTCGTTATCCATAAAATTCGAACCTAAGACCTCTCACTTCCAAGTGAAGAGGAATACTACTAGATCGTAATACTGAGTGACAATAATTGAATTATATACTTAAAAAAGGAAAAAAGTAACTGTCACGACCATGGTCTAAAATATCCATAATATCCCGATATTTCCATCGAAATTTTCGTGTTTTTGGACTACCGATATTTCCGATATCATCGATATTTTAGACCTTGCTAAGTCACTCATGTATCTTACCATGCAATGTATAAAGTGTAAAATATTGTACTAATTCATTATATATAAATGATTATGGTGTGTTTAAACTTCTTTCATTAATTACTACATATTTTCTACACTCACAATGTTTGCCAATTTGCTATATAATCAACTTAAATCAGTTATATCTATCATGCAATGCATTTCGTTCCAATTTTTTGTGATAAACTAATAGATAATTGACTAAATAAACATCATGCAAAGTTTCAATAAAAATTTCCAGGTTTTTCTTACAATTTCCGTGGTTTTTATTCAATTTTTATCGATATCGATAATATCCCGATATTTCCATCGAAATTTCCGTGTTTTTGGACTACCGATATTTCCGATATCATCGATATTTTATACCTTGGTCACGACAATTCTGCATGGATGGAAACTTGCTAGAGCAATTTCCATTCAAAGTGAATAGTAACTTTTCCAGCCTTCTGCCATGAGGAAACAGATGGAGTTGCTTAAAATTAAAACAAGAGGAGTGGTTTATCAAATTTTCACCGTGTGGTAAAAACAAAAGGAGGCTGCACAAGGCAGTAAAAAATACACCATATTACAGACTAAAAAAGTGTAAAATTGGTAACCTAGTTTCAGTATATAAAATAAGATTACAGAAGCAATTCTTTGTTGGTACTGACAGAAGTGAGAGAGCAGCTCCCTGAAACTCTAATACTAGTTTCAGTATCATATATAACAATCATCGTCGATGAATAAGCATTGGCTCTACGCGAGGACAGCGGTAGCCAAATTTAACGACTCGACCGATGAACACCAACTGCTGCTTGGTAGAAGCCGATATGACCAAATTCAGCTCAAAACTTGAGAATCTTGAGGAACAACAGTTGCAGTACAGTTTGTTGTGATTCCTCTCTTAGCACTAAGCTTCTTCTCCTACTTCAACAAGCCTCCCGCGAATCCA